TGAACATAGGTATGAATTAGGTAAATATGTACACGATATCACAATATATACAAGGTCTCACATACATGTATGATAATTGTGGGGAAGCACTAGAAATTTGAGGAAACAGAAAAGGTTTCATGTAGACTTCTACAACATCTGGTTTGATCCTCGGACAAAACAGATTTGAACAAGCTCATTCAAGGAGGTAGCGCATTCCAAGTATGGGGGATAGCCAATGCAAAGACTTGGAGATGGGAAAAATTGTGCCATGAATGAGGAAAATGAGGAAAGCCAGTTTGCCTGGATTGTAAGTACATGAAGTCAGTCAGCTAATTAGTCAATGAATACTTGTTTGGTTCCCACTTCATGTTTGGTAGTTTGTAACAAGTGTAACAATGGGAGCTTGGGGTCAGATTGTGAAGGTGTTTCAGTACCAAAGAGTGGCAGTTGTATTTGATCCTAGAGGTATTGGGGTAATGTTGAGTAGAATAATGACTTGGTTAGCTGCAGCTTTAGGAAATTCACTTTGGTAACCGCATGGAGGATACCAGGCTCAAGACTTACTGCCCTGATCCCATAACTCTATTTTTATGAATGATTAAACCTAGAACTATTTAGCCATGATGAAACAATTATTCCCTGTGGGTTTTTTTTGGGGGGGAAGGAGAATGATTATTAAATTTTTAAAGAAACTTTCCTTCCTGTTAGAGAATACAAATATGTGTCATTGGCATATATTTAGAAATTTCCACTTAATAATAATGGGAGAGTTCAAATCATGACAAGATCAAACAGTTTATTTACCATATATGTGTCAGGGTGAGAGTTCTTCAGTTCTGGGAAGAGGTGAATTTAAAAAAATATTGTCCATTTTTAACATTTATTTAAAAAACTTGAGTTCTGAATTCTCCTTCCCTCTCCCCTTCCCCATCCATTGTGAAAGCAAGAAATGTGATGTAAATTATACGTGTGAAATCATGCAAAATGTACTTCCATATTAGCCATGTTGCAAAAAAGAGAGAGAAAAAAACAAAGAAAAAAAGCAAGAAAAATAAATGATGTAAAAATTATGCTTCGATCTGCATTCAGACTCCATCAGCTCTTTTTCTGGAGGTGATTGACATTTTTCATTATAAGTCCTTTGTCTTGGATCACTGTATCATTCAGAACAGCTAATTCACTCAGTTGATTATCATACAATATTGCTGTTACTTTGTCCAAAGTTCTCCTGATTCTGCTCACTTCACTTTGCATCACTTCATACAATTGGATAGCTGCAGTTGATAGGAAGTTGTTTTCTTGACCTCAGGCCTGTTTGTGTGTGTGTGTGTGTGTGTGTGTGTGTGTGTGTGTGTGTGTAAGTGCATGTTTGCTACTTTTCCCCATTGATACTGGTTTCTGCTTTCTGGGACCAAATAGAATAAAAGTTTAATCCTTCTTCCCCATGATTGGGCTTCAAATATTCAAAGACAACAATTTAGTTCCCTGAATTTTCCTTCTATGCTGAACACCTGCTGTTCATTCAACAATTCCTCACTTGGTATCCTGGTTGCCTTCTTTGGGCAACATTTTCCAAACAACTTTCTTCCTAAAATAAGACACTCAGAACGGAATGACATATTCTTGTTGTAATCTGACCAAGGATGTATATATAATGGGACTATCAGTTCCATGTTCCTAGAATATATGGGTAATGAAATACATGAAATTTTGCCAACTTTGCCACTTAGATAACAGAAAAAAAAATAGCAATATTACCTTTCCTCTCACCCCAGCAACATCCCAACTCTGTTGTAATCAAAAGACAGTCAATGGCTAGAAAGTTTGTCAGGATATATGTATGTGTGTATGTGTATGTATGTATATATTTTCAATGTATATGTATATATGTATACACACATATGTACTTACACAGCCATACACCTTTATCATATTGGTAAAGTAGAAAATGTGTAATCATTAAAGTTTGGGAAGCACTGCATGCCTTGTCACTTACAGTCCTCATAAATGGGAAGTGCTATTGATAGTTCTAGTTTATGGAAGAACAGGAGGCTTAGAGAATTAAAATGACTTGTCTTACCTAAATACCTGAGGCAGGATTTGAACCTTAGCATAGACATTCCTCTCCAAGCAGACATTCCTCCATAGTTACAGCTATTTTCCAAAATATCTGAGTTAATCTATACTCAGGTGTGGTAGAGTGGAGAGAGTGTTGAATTTACATTCAGAAGGAACCTGGCTTTGAAGCTCAAGCCTTCATGTTTGCCAGTTTTGTGACCTTGAATAAAATACTTAACCTTTCTGAGTCTGTTTCTTCATCTATAAAATGAGGAAAGTTATTTTTGCAACATCTAGCTCGCAAAATTTGTGTGAGGAAAATAAAATGCAAAGAATAGGCGTTATATAAATGTGATTTATTTATTATTTCTATGTTACCTGTTTTTGCCTCCTGTCCACTTTTGTTGTTTTTCAGTCATGTCTAACCCTTCATGGCCCCATTTGGGGTTTTCTTGGCAAAGATACTAGAGTGGTTTTCCATTTCCTTTTCCAGCTTATTTTATAGATGAGGAAACTGAGGCAAATAGACTTGCTCAGTAAGGATCTGAGGCCATATTTGAACTCAGGAAGATGTCTTCCTGACTACAGGCCCTGTACTATATCCACTGCCCCACCCAACTGCCCTTCCTGTCAACCACTTCCCTTTATATTACCAACTTGGATAATAGAATACAATATCCTGTTTTCTTCATGTGCCTGCAAGGGCTATCAGAAGTCTGGATATATTTGTAAACACTTGATACCATGATCAGAATATTCCCCTACCACACAATAAGAAAATAAAGAAAAAAGAAAGAAAATCTGAAATAAATCTGGTGTAGTTACAGGTCTAGTGTATCCCTTTTGTTTCTCTTCCTCACTTCTAGAATGACTACAACAAAAATAGTGCTTAGAATATTTTTGTTTCTTCTATTCTGCTTCTGCTAACATCTGCAATTCATTGATATTCTATGTACCTCTGCTACTTCTTCTTATATGGAAAGAATGCTCCTGGCTAAGGGAAACACTTCAGATAATGGCTTTGAAATGTAAAGTAGGTCATGAAATGTAATTTCTGGCAGAGACCTTAGAGATTAGCTAAACCTAACCCTTCATTTTGCAGATAAGGAAACTGGAGCTAGGGGAGGTGACTTGCCCAAGGTCACAAAGTAAGCTAGGGGGAAGAACCCAGGTCTCCAAACTCTTGCTTCAGTGCCTGGTACTTGAGTGTTTGGTTAGTCACTAGCTAGATGTATGATTTTGGGAAATTTTGTAACATCTCTAGGCCCTGCTCTCCTCATTGGCAGAATGTAACGTCCAGATGTAACTTTATACAATTCAACTTTGTGAGTTTAAGCAATACAAGTGTCACTATCCCCTTTTCTCATTCTAGTAGAAAATAACATAGTAGCTGTTAGAGATCAACATTAATTCAGAGTAAAAGGTGTCCAAATATTTCCATGTCCAACATCATTTCCATCCGTTATCTTTCATTATCATAAATTTCCTACATTGTTCACTTTTTTGTGCAAAAGCATCACAGGCCATGTACAATTCAACTAGATTTTCATGGAAAGACAGCACAAATTATCAGTTATTAACACCTTTGCACAAGTTAATTTGCAGGATTAAATAATAAAGGATAATTTGAGGGGGGGAAAAGAACGGCATATAGATAGTGAATTAGGGATAGTAGGGGGCATCAAATAGAAATAAGAAAGGACACGAAATGACACCTAGGCACTGGGGAAGGCTCCAAATGGATGTGGGATACGATGTAAAAGGCAATGGTTTTGGAGTCAGAAAACTATAGAGATGGACTTCAATTTCCATATCTGCAAAATGATCTCATTGGACTACACAGGCTCAATGTTCCTTTTCAGCCTTGCATCTAGTATCCTGTGAACCCATGAGGCAAAGAATTTTACCTACCTACCTCAATGCCTTTGGCTTCTGCTGGCCCAGTAATAATCGGCGTCTTTGTTTCATTGCTTCACTGGAACATAGGTGGTATTCCTTCCCAAGCTGAACAAACGACCTCCAACTGCCATTTCTTAATCAGTAAAGGCTTAGAGAGAATTGAAGCCTACTCTATTATCTCCTAACAGGTCGTTTCAGAACACTAAATGCTAGATGGTGATTTGTCAATATTTGTTTTTGCTTTAAATTCATTAGAGAGAGAAAACAAATAACGACAACAGAACAAAAAACAAAACAAAAACAAAAACAAAACCTTCCTTTACATTGTCTCTTGACAATGCTCTTGAATGGGAAATAGAATAGGAAAGCTCCATATAGGCATCCCCCTATAGAACACCAAACTTCTGACATCCTTTCCAGATGCAAATCTATTATTCTATGATAATAAAAAGGTAGAAATTGCTCTCAAAGTCTTCCCAACTTTCTGAAACCCACTAGAATCTGGACTTTGCCGTCATATACTACCTTCACACCTAGACCATGATGAGACTGAATGGAATTTTCCTAATTCAGAATTAAATAAATAAATAAATAAGCACCTTGATCAATTACTTAACTTTTCATTGTGGCATAGAGAAGTCCTTGGATTGTCAAAGGCTGCCTTAATGGAACAAAACCTCTGAAATGACTAACTGAAGTTTTCAGATATAATTCAGGGAAAGATGAAACTGACTAATACTCAGAGAGGATTAGCACTAAGTCAACAATTAGTCACAGCAACTCTCAAAAAAATTCATAAAAGGGTCATAATCTGTATTAGTGGAAGGAAGAAATTACAAATCTTCAGAACAGTGAAGTAATCAGACAGATTAGAGAAGAGAGGGAAACCTGAACTCCAACCCTAACCTAATTCCATTTCTAACCTTCATTTTCAGTGTGAATTCATTCACAACAATATGTTCATGTTCAACTTTTCAGGAATCACCTACAATACATCAGTGACACTTTGGGATGTTTTATACGTGGGCTTCTCACAGACTTTCCCCCCCTTTCTGTTACAGCATAGGTGGAGAAGTTGGGCGAGGACACGAAGGAAGTTATGTGGGCAAACATTTCCGAATGGGATTTATGACCATGCCTGCTCCTCAGGACAGACTTCCTCATCCTTGCTCGAGTGGCTTTTCCGTGAGGTCCCAGTCCCTTCACTCATTGGGGGGTACGGATGATGACAGTAGCTGTAGCTCTCGGAGACAGCCTCCCCCAAAGCCAAAGCGGGACCCTAGTACAAAACTGAGCACTTCATCAGAGACCGTCAACGCCACAGCAACGGGTAAAAGCGTGAGACTCCCCGAGAGGACAGAAGGTAAATCACGCGGTTTCTACTTAAACTAGAAATTTATTTCAGACGAAACAATAAGGTCAGCAAATTAACGAACATCTGCTTTCCTCAATTGTGCACAATATTCTAAATGTAATTAGGCTTCATGGTCCCATAATCATGCCTGAATTGCAGGCATCTCTTTGAAAAACAATGAATTAAGGTAGAATGTTATCTCTTTTTGGATTAACTTATATTCATGTGCTATCCATCATTGTTGAGAAATAAGTTTTATTTAGATGAATTTTCCAAATAGGACAGATTGCCTTTTTAAGCCCCTATGTTATTGCTGTTGTTTTAATACAAGTATAAATGTGTGTATATGCATTTGTGAAGGGGTGTATTTCTAATTTTCATTCTATATTTTGCAGAATATACCAACAATAACAGCCTTGTATTTTTCACATTTATTTATTTTTAATTTATAGTATTAAACAAGCATTTCCACAACATAGCATGATTAAAAGAGAGCGAATTGCAAATGAAACTGCAAGTCTATTATGTACAACTTGTTATTCATTTCTCTCTTTTTTTTTTGTTTCTTCCCTTCCCCTCCCCACCCTAGAGATGGCTACCATTAGACACAAATAGGTATATATGTAAAATTATTCTATTTAGACATACTTCTATTTATCAGTTCTTTCTCTGGAAGCAGATTGCATCTTTTTTCATATGTTCTTTACAGTTAATTTGGATGTTTATAATAGTCAAAATAACTTATTCACTCAAAGTTGTTCTTAAAACAAGATTGCTGTTGCTGTATATAATATTTTCTTGGTTCTGCTTATTTCATTCTTCTTTATTTCATGCAAGTCTTTCCATGTTTTTCTGAGCTCATTTAGCTCATCATTTCTTATAGCAAAGTAGTATTCTATCACAAATAACAACCTTGTCTTGCAAAATCGGAGTCATCCTTTAGATGAGCTATTTTTTTTCCCATTTGGTAAGAGCAGACCCTGAGGTTAAATAAAGCTGTTTTCCCCTATACTGTATGGCCTTAGTTGGGCGTACTTTTATAAGTTCATGTTCCTGTTTTCCTGTTTCTCTTCCTTATCATCCTATGTCAGCAGGCCAGTGGCTTTCATTCACTTAGGACCTTTGGATCACATTTAGAACTGACTTTGAAGGTCATATATCTGGCTGAAGTCCCTCAATTTGCTGCTCAGGGGACTGAGGCACAGAGAGGTTAGGCAATTTCTCTAAGGTCACTCTAGTATTAAACAGCAGGCCTGAGATTTGAATTCAGGTCCTTTGCTTTCAGTTTCAGTGCTTTTCTTTCCTCTGTATTTGCACATCTGCCTGCTGATAATAGCAACCCCCACCCCCACTTCGAACTTGCTGCTTCTCATCATCATGGTCTAGAGAACTAGATTTATAAGTTTATTAGAATCCCATGCAAAATGAGATCACTGATTTGAGTCACTACTCTGAGTGAGGTGCTATGGGCCTCACTTATGAAGTTCAATTCTATTTACTATATGTTTATTATATTTATCTATTCACTCTGTATTTATTACCTTGTGCGAGGTGATAGGTGGTACAGTGGACAGAGTGCCAGTCCTGGAGTCAGGAAGACTCATCTTCCTGAGTTTAAGTCTGGCCTCAGACCCTTACTGGGCAAGTCACTTAACTCTGTTTGCCTCAGTTTTCTCAATCTGTAAAATGAGTGGAGAAGGAAATGGCAAACCACTCCAGTATCTTTGCCAAGAAAACCCCAAATGGGGTCAGGAAGAATCAGATATGACTGAAGTGACTGACTGAAGGTAAGGGCTATGGAGAGGAAAACAAAAGTCTCTATATTTAAGGAGTCTCCATTCCCTTGGGGGAGAGGGGAGCACAGAATTTATATCATCGAGTAAATACAAGATACTTTGTAAAGGAAGAGAAAACTAATGATGGGAAAGAATAAGGAGATCAGGAAACGAGGGCTTTTGTCATGGTGGTTTGAGGCCATTTTTCACTTACTTCCATTTTTATAGTTATGCACTTGATACTTTGTATTGCTAGTAGCTAGATCAGGCAAGTGGAGCTTTAGAGACATTGTTATGCTATGTTAAAGGAAAAAAAAGAAAGAGTAGATAAAATGCAGAGAAAAAATCCACCTCTTACTATCTCTATCAGTTTTGGGGATTATAAATATTATAAAATTATAATTTATAAAATTATTTAAATTAAAAAAATATAAATTTACATAGCTATACATCTATCTATCTATCTATCTATCTATCTATCTATCTATCTATCAGGGCTTATTAAAATGAAAGGAGCAGCTAGGTGGCACAGTAGATAGAGGGCCAGACCTTGAGTCAGGAAGACCTGAGTTAAAATCTGGCCTCAGACAATTACTAACCATATGACTCTGGGTGAGCCACTTAACACTGCTTGCCTCACTTTCCTAGTCTATAAAATGAACTGGTGAAGGAAATGGCACACCACTCCAGTATCTTTGCCAAGAAAATCCCAAATGGGGCCATGAAAAGTCAGACATGACCAGACAACAACAAAATTAAATAAAAATCTAAAGGAATTTAACATTTTTAAGAAACTCTAGCAATTGGGGTTCAGCAAATTATAATGTAAAGAATTACAAGTTTAAGAATAGTCTTAAAAATCAGCCTGAATACATTCTGTCTGTGATGTTTTAGGTGTGCAGCTTCCTGAAGGGAGTGGGCTAATACAGCTCATATCTATCAGGGTCACTTTTACTTCCAGGATTCAAAGGTTCAAAATGGCTGCCCAGTAATGGGACATCAATTTCTATTCTCTCTGAGATCAAACTAGAAGAATGACTTCAAGACATTGCAGAAAAAAAAAAGACTTCAATAAGATTCAAAAGAGAACTTAGTAAATGGCAAGAGTTACTAAATACTAGAGCATAGCAGGAATCCCATTTCCAAAAGTCCTTGCCAGGGGCAGCGAGGTGGTGCAGTGAATAGAGCACTGGCTCTGAAGTCAGGAGGACCGAAGTTCAAATCCAGTCTCAGACCAAACACTTGACACTTACTAGCTGTGTGACCCTGGGCAAGTCACTTAACCCCAATTGCCTAAAAAAAGAAAGAAAGAAAGAAAGAAAGAAAGAAAGAAAGAAAGAAAGAAAAAGCAAAAAAAAAAAACCCAAACAAACCCAAAAGTCCTGGCCAAAGGTAGCTAGAGAAAATTCATCATCAATGACATAGTGGCAAGCTGACCGCTCCATCCAGAGCAGCTCTAGGTTGATGAAGAAAAGCTTCTCATTGTCTCAGAGGAGAGATTCTTTCTTTTTTCCACTGTTTTTTTTTTAGCTTAGAAGAGGTAAAGTATCAATGATCTATAAATAGAAAACCACCTACTTCTGCCATTTGCTGAGCTGAGTTCCAAGGTTTTCAATATGTCAGAGGTATACATGTTAATTTTTGCTAAATTCAACACTCATTTATTAAATCCCTACTATGTGAAGGTCAGTGGTAAGTAAGGACTGGATGAATGGATGGAGTTGAATATGTGATTTAGCATGGCTACTGAATCTGATACAATCAATTTTTATTTAAAAAATAATTTTAAATAGTATTAGGCAGGAGGTGCAGGATCTTCCGTGTTGAGAAATTGTAGGAAATAAGTGCTTGGGGATGTGTGTTTGTGGATGTTGGTGACATTACATTGTCTCTGAATGAAATAACCCCCTAAAAATCACCCTTTTTTAGGTTATCTGTTTCACTGTTCCATCTATTCCTTCTTCCCACTTCTACCCACTTCAGATAATAAGGGGTTTGACTAATAATAATAATAAGGGGTGACTTCAACATGTGTTTTTTTCCACAATATTTCTTCTTATCAAACTTATCAAAGCTTTTAAATGAGTTTTATAAATCTTGGCCCTACTCTCCTTTCTATTTAAATGACAAAAAAATCAAAATATTGATTTGGTGACATCAGAGTAATTTCCATGGTAACAACCTGACTATAAGTATGGGATTATGGCTCCCCTGCTGGATACAAGTTAAAGAGACTTGAACAAGGTAGCAGAAAGTCTTCCTTCATAAATATAAGAAAAAGCTTAATAAGAAAAAAGGAAAATACAAAAATACAAAGAAAAACTGGTTTTGGATCAGCAATTTTTTTTATTATCCATTAAAAAAATCCTTACCTCAGTGGTACATATAAAATAACTCTTAATTCAATGCATGCCTTTTGATTTTACTATCTACATGGCATCAGTCTGTCCTCTTGTCCATTTTCAAGGAGTGGTTCATTTTCAGAGATAAGGTAAGATGAGGAGAAAGTAAGGTGAGATGACAACTCTGTCCTCAAGACAACACTATGAGTAAGTAGTTCCAAGGAGTGGATGTGGTCATCATGGGGAAGATAGGCGCAATGGGTAATGGTAATGACTGTCTTCAACAAACAGTGAGAAATACCACCCACCAGTCCTGGACATGAACATGAAGACAGATAGAATCTCAGACACAGCATGAAGAGAAATAAATACAAACCGTAAGCTGTTTAGCAGCTTCTCCCACCTATAACCATCAAGTGTATGCAAATATAGCAAGTCTGCCAATAAAATCACTACCACACACAAAAGACAATTTGGTTCCCTGATCACTGTCTCATCACATTAAGGGGCAGGGGGAAGTCTTGCCTTCGAATCTGTGAAAAGCCAGGTGCCATTTCCTGTTTGTTCCCCAAAATAGCAACTGTATGTACATGAACCATAAGAATGTAGTGTGTGTGCGTGTGTGTATGTGTGTGCACAGTGTGGTAGATTGTTTAGAGAGCCAGACTTGCCATTAGGAATACTTGGTTTTAAGTCCTCAGTCCGAGATGTACTTGACTCAGGGGCAAATAATTTAACCTCTCATTTCTCCTGGAGACTTCTTTGTTTTGTTTTGTTTTTGTTTTCCCCTTCCTAGCCATCACGTGTGGTGTCCCTTTTTATAAGAAGAATTAGAATGGAAGTGCCTTGCAGGCAAGGATCGTCTCACTTTGATTTTTTTTTTTTATCCACA